GAGACCATCCTGGCTAACCCGGTGAAATCGCATCTCTACTAAAAAATACAAAAAACTAGCCGGGAGAGGTGGCGGAAGCCTGTAGTCCCACCTACTCGGGAGGCTGAGGCAGGAGAATGGCGTAAACCCGGGAGGCGGAGCTTGCAGTAAGCTGAGATCCAGCCACTGCACTCCAGTCTGGGGGACAGAGCAAGACTCCATCTCAAAAAAAATAAATAATAAAAATAAATAAAAATAAAAATTACCCAGCTTCAGGTATTCCTTTATAGCAACTCAGAACAAACTAACACACCAGCAAAAGCAGGAAATGGCATCAAATTCTAATATTCCTCCCTCCTCTCACCCACATACATATACCCAGTCTCCTCTAATCCCAACTTGCACCCTGAACACGCAGAAGAGATCTCCTGTATATGACTAAATAGTATGGTGTTCTTTCCTCGATAAAAGCAATTGTCTTCCATAAAGATGTTTTGTTTTTTCTTTTCAACTTTTCTTGAGCAAATGGTATAACTATCAACAATAGTCTTTCTTGTGTTTATGTTTACCTCAAAAAAGTGGTGAATTAAATGTATTTTTAATGCATGCCTTCACCTTTAAGGGGCTTACATTCTGACAGGTAGGTGAACACAAGTCTATAAGCAGCTACTTCGAGAAGAAGGTATAATGGAAACATAAACCAAATATTGTGGATAAAACTCATATATGAGAGGAAACACGGAAAGACTTCAGAAAATCAGCCTTTATTTCCTCTATTTTTGCAGTATCTGTGGATAGTTCACATCAGTTTGGTCTATCATTGAGCAAACTGGTGTATGAAACAAGGTCTCACCTCCCTCTCTCCAGTTGCCAGATAAGCCTTTTAGGAGACTGGACTTTCATGCTTGCCAGATAGTCCTGGAAACAGGTTCCTCTAGCCAGCACTCCAAAAACCTCCTATTCCCCAACCTCAAATCATTTTGGATTGAGAATAATTTCTCATATCTTTAAAAGCTTCTAGAAAAGAAGACTATTAGTAGAATGAATAAGTGTTTATGTCCTCAAAGAATTAGTAAACTATCCTGAGTATGTCTGTCCAGTAAACCAGAGCTGAATGAGAAAATGCTAAAACATTCTTGCAACAAGTTCCCTAAGTTTCCTCTCTGCCTGAACAGCATAGTTCATCAGCATAATGAACAGAGTCAATCTCTATTCCTGTAAGCTTTGTTTTTTGTAGAATGATACATCAAGAAAAATATATTAAGCCCTTACTATATACTTAGCTTTGCATTTGGTATAGAAAAAGTACAAGACACAGCTTTAAAGAATTTACAACCAAGCTGAGCTTTAAAGCATTTACAATATACCAGGGGAGTAATTCAATGTCTTGGTTTTGAAGTCTTTCCTTCTTTTCTAATTTACTTTTTAAAATTACAGTATAGTTGACAAAAATCATATATATTTATAGTGAACAATGTGTTTTGATATATGTATAATGTTATGAAATGGTTAAATCAAGCTCATGAACATATCTATCATCTCACATACTTATCACTTTCTGTTGTGAAAACATTTAAGATCTACTCTCTTAGCAATTTTCAAGAATCCAATACATTGCTATTAACTGCAGTCACCATGAGAGACAATAGATCTCTTGTACTCATTTCTTCTGTCTGAAATTTGGAAACTTTGACCAGTATCTCCCCAGTTCCACAACCACCCCTCAGCTCCTGGTAACCACCATTCTACTCTCTGCTTCTATGAGTTCGACTTTTTAAGATTCCACATAAAACTAAGATCATGTAGTATTTGTCTTTCTGTGCCTGGCTTATTTCACTTAGCATAATGTCCTCCAGGTTCATCTATTTGTTGCAAATGACAGGATTTCCTTCTTTATAAAGCCAAATAGTATTCCATTGTGTATATAGATATATATCTGTGTATGTGTCTGTGTATGTGTGTCACATTTTTTCATTATCCATTCATCCATTGATGGACATTTAGGTTGATTCCATATCTTGGCTATTATGAATAATGCTGCAATGTACATGAGAGTACAGATATATCTCCCTGATATGCTGATTTCAATTTCTTTGGATATATACCCATGAATGGTATTGCTAGAGCACACGGTAGTTCTAATTTTAATTTTCTGAGGAACCTCCACACTGTTTTCCACAATGGCTGTACTAATTTACATTCCCATCAACACGTACACAAGGGTGCCAAAGGCTTCCCTTCAGGCTAGGTTGA